ATCGCTTCAAACGCTATATTTTTACGTTAGTTTAACACTCTTTTATTCAGTTTGTTTCTATATTCGAATTGTATTTAGACTCGTTCCCTCGCGTGTGTGTCCTGTCCACCTGCCATAAAAAAGGACACAATTAATTACAAACATCAACTCCCCACTGTGCATTCACACATGCCATCAATTACGCAGTAAAACGAAGGGTGAATGATACGTGGGGACGTACACTCAGGGACCGCGGAAGCGTGGGGACAGAGGAATAATGTCCCCCCAGTTATTCGATGTCCCCATCATCTCCCCATCTTATATAAACCCGTCCCTCCCCCTATCCTACAATTTCCATGTCCCCAGATGTCCCCACTGCCTCCGCGGCCACTGCATACACTGACGACAGCGCATAAAGTTGATTCGGAAGGTGATACGTAAATGAGATGGGTGGCTGGTGTGAAGGGAGGCTTGTGATGCGCTAGATAAACTGGTGGACAAAGTCGTTCATCCAGAACTAAATATTCTTTGACATGAAATATTCAATAGAAACGATGAAGCTCCCTCGAGCATTTCACCCTCTCGTCAATTCGTCGTCCCCATCATCTCGCTCCCTCCGCCTGTACGGACGTATCTACCAATTTCCAGACAACAACGGAGGGCGAAAATTGCTTTCGTGGACATCACAACATCCCAAACGCTGAAGAAACGGGAGATCTCACAGCGAATGCTCTCAGATTTTGGCAAATTAGTGTGAATCGATCTCAAAATTAATTGGTATGAAATTTGCGAAAGACACCAGCTCCCAATTGGCACGTTTGGCGGAAATATTTGCATCCACAGAGGAGAAAATTCGCTCCAAGGTTTACAAATAGTTCTGCCAAACCTGAACATTTGGAGATGTCCCAGCTTAGCTTCTCCAATTTTTTGCAAATATGTAAATCGATTATAAATTTAATTGGTATGCAATTTGCAAAAGACGCGATCTCCCAATGGGCACGTTTGGCCGAGATATTTGCATCCGAAGAGGAGAAAGCTGCGCAGTAAATTTAGAAAGTGGAAAATTTGACGACTTTAAGACGCGTTTTCTCCTCTTCGGATGCAAATATCTCTGCCAAACGTGCCCATTGGCAGATCGTGTCTTTCGCAAATTTCATATTAATTGAATTCCTGATCGATTTGCATAAATTTACTCAAAATCGGAGAGCGTACGCTGGGAGACATCCCTTATCAGAGGCGATAAGAGTCACATACGCGTGTGTGTCTTGTGTACATTTTATGTATAAAAACAACCCTGATACAGTTGTCCTCATCCATACATGCATAAGTATTATATCCATCTTGTGACACTATCGATTTATCACTGGTGGCTGCTGCTGGCGTTGGTGGTTGATGCGATGTCCCCGTGTCACATCACGTCACAAACTGAATTGAAAAGGTAGCGAAAATTCAGTTATCTGCGTTGAATAGGTGGTCCTGACTTTAACAGGGTTTCGTTTCTGGCGGGTTTGCTACTTACATTTCTTGCACGTCAGAAATTCGAGGTGCAAGAAACTGGGAGAAAGTGCAAGAAATATGCGCCATCCCGCCACGCGCCGTATGAGGTACAGCGGCGGGAAGGAGTTTCTTGCGCTTCTTACGGTCAAAATAAGTACCTGTAAGAAACCACTTTCTCCCCGTTATTTCTGGCAAATGGTCACTTTCACCCGAAAAACTGGCCAAATTGTAACATTTTATAAAATATTTAGCTGCAAAAAACCACTTTCTTGCAGTTGTTTCTTAAGTGTACCCGAATCACGGGGTCAGCAGTGACTACTTTCACCCAGGGTTTCGTTTCTTGCGGGTTTATCACATTTCTTGCACTGGATAGGAAGCCAAGCAAGAAATTCGAGGTGCAAGAAACTGCAAGAAATAAGCGCCATCTAGCCAAGCGCCGTATGAACTATAGCGTCAGGGCGTAGTTCCTTTTAGGTCAAAACAACTTCAAAATACACTTTCTCCCCCTTTACTTTCCCCCGAAACACTACACTTTTCAGTTGGAAAAAGAACTCTTGGTCTGACAAGTCTGAAATCTTCGTGGAGAGAAAGTCACTCACTCACTCCGCACCAATTTTGACAAAAGCAACATACACGTCTGGATATATACTCGTATTGATGGTCTGACGGATAACATTGGCTGGCTCGCTCGTCTGCAATAATTGGCTCTACAGATAAATTTTCATTCCACTCGCATCACCAAATTTCACTTTGTTGATACAAAATCAGGGCCTATATCGCGTCTGTGATTACAAAAGCCTTTGTACACTTTGGTTACGACAAGTGGAGTGGATTTGAGTGAAAGTGATGATTATGTCGTCAGGCGGAGGAATCAAACGATAGATATGGAATCAAACTGTCGCCACGTTACGTTTTTTGAGGCGGCGTATGTAGTTCCAGATAATGCCCCAATTTTGCTGGTGTTGCATTAATCTGTGATCAAAGTAATTGACGGGATCACATTTTGCTGAGGTTGCTCCGATAATATTCGACAAAAGGGGTATTGAGTGCAAATCTGTGTCATGGAAGAGCAGGGATGGGCAAAATATTTTTTGAAAATGCAGGATTTTGAGCTCGGTTCATTCTAAAGTTTGGATTTATAGGGCTGTTACACCCACAAAAAGACGAAAATCTCCGTGCAGAAGGCAACAGTCTTACGATAACTCCGTTCATTTTGAAGAAATTAACTTTTAATCTCTGTTAAAACACATTGTTTTCGCGATTTAAAAAAATGCAATATTTTGAGCTTCGTTCTTCCCAGGGTTTGGATTTCCAGGACTGTTACACCCACAAATACACCAGAATTTGCACGAAGAAGGCAAGATTTTGCTTTACGAAATTCACTTTCTATCGCTGTCAAAATACTTTGTCTTCGCGATTTTCTAAAAATAAAGCATTTTAAAAACCTGTATTTTCGTAAGACTTTTGTCTTCTCCACGTGAATTTTCGTCTTTTTGAGGGTGTTACACCCCCGGAAATTCAAACCCTGAGAACAACCGAGTTCAAAATACTGCATTTTCACAAAGTATCTTGCCCATCCCTGCAGTTTGCAAAACCTTGTACGAGAAGAAGGTACTGCATACATACATATGTAGCATAATATTCCGCAGTTATGTACGTGTTCTTCTCCTCATAACTCAACCGTATCAGCGAATTTACGGCAATAAATCAGATTATTCATCAAACCAAAATTCAATACAGAAATATATTCACCAACCAACTTTATCAGTAACGTGTTTAATAAAATTTCAATTTCCATTCCCTTTTATATACGTTGTAAACTTGCCAATTCGAAATTCTCCTCCGCTCGATTGAATCTCAATGAAGCAGAAATTCAACAAGAATTTGAATCCGTAATGGGCATTGGGGGAAGAAGAAAAATTAAACTGATTTACGATCCCATTAAACTAACCCCCCAACAAATTACGTATAACTCGAATTATGTAGGTCCTAAACTTTATTTTGCAAGGATCAAAATGAAAATTGCGATTAATTTTGCAACGACGTGTATGCTTTTCCCGAGGGAAAAAGTGATATCCATCTTTATTCTCTGCCTTTCTAAGTATATTAGTCATAAAGGTTGCCAGTGGCCGTGGAAGGGTGGGGACAGAGGGGTAATGTTCCCCAGGGTTGCTCGATGTACCCATCGTCTACCATAGATCGGAGTATTCCGGGCTTGGAGTACGTACTCCGGCCTCCGGAGGCCGGAGTACGCAGCTTTTTCTGGAGGCCGGAGTACACGTGGCCAGCCGGAGGCCGGAGTACGCGGAGGCCGGAGTACGCATGGCCGGCCGGAGGCCGGAGTACGGAGGCCGGAGTACGCAAAATTTCCGATCGCATAGATAGGAGAATTCCGGGCTTGGAGTACGTACTCCGGCCTCCGGAGGCCGGAGTACGCGACTTTTTCTGGAGGCCGGAGTACGCGGAGGTCGGAGTACGCGGAGGCCGGAGTACGCGTGGCCAGCCGGAGGCCGGAGTACGCGGAGGCCGGCCGGAGGCCGGAGTACGCAAAATATCCGATCTATGCGTCTACCCATGTTATATGAAACCCCTTCCTCCCCTATCCTACAATATTAATGTCCCCACGGCTTCCGCCGCCACTGTATTAACATGTTCCATGTTGAGGTGATGATAAAAGAACAGTGGCCGCGGAAGGTTGGGGACAGAGGGAAAATATCCCCACGATTATTTGATGTCCCCATCGATCGTCTGCCCATCTTATATAAACCCCTCCCTCCTACGATATTAACGTCCCCAAATGTCCCCACGGCTTCCGCGGCCCCTGACTCTTCCAGCTATACGTCCTTACTAACCATCAAATCAAGAAGGCCAATAAATGACGTCAATCGCAGTTGGAATTGGACTTAAAATGAAACTCGAGCAGAGGAAATTAGGAGAGAAAGTGAAACTGGAGCATCAAACCCAGCAAACCAGCCAGGCGACTCTCTGGAGAATTTTGTCTACAAATTCGCCTCCATATAATTTTGTTGCTGGCCAAACCTCAAGAATATCTACCGCTTCGGATGTCCCAGTGTTTCGTTTTGGAATTCGAAACAGCGTCTAAAATTGTCCAAAATCATTTTAAACGTCCAAAACCACTTTTGGACCGGACAGCTTCCAAAAACTTCCAAAACTCCAGAGAGTAATTTAGGAAGTCCAAAAAGCGTTCAAAACTAACTAGAATAATTTTGGACGTCCAAAAATGTCCAAAAGTGTGAAAATGGGGCAAAATTTTGAAGTTTTTTTTACTAACGACTTTTTTGTAAATCTACATCTGCCCAGATATAACAGTAACTTCCCATTAATTTTGAGCATTTTGGTGTGTCTGTATATAATCCCATGAAATTTAGAAAAACTTGGGTTTTAACATGTTTTATTATGAGAAATTAAGAAACTTTCTCAACCATGCCGTATTAATTACGCAGCAAAATCCTCAAAATTAATAAATACAAGATTACATATACATACGTCAACCGATTATCGAAAAATTCAATAATGAAAAACTTATAGCAATTTGCAACATTTCTCAATTTGGACACTTTTGGACATTTCGGATGTCCGGACAACTCGGTGTCAAAAACCGGTTTTCAACGGCTGTTTTGAACGATGGTTAAAACCACAACGAAACCCTGCCCAAACCTAAAAAAAGTGCATGTGAGCCAGCACATAGCCCAAATTTTCATTTCAATTTCATTTGTGAGTGTACTGAAACATTAAAAATCAAATCATGACCCAGTAATTGAGTTGGAGATGCCACGCCACGGGCCAGAGAATTTGTATTATTATTACGCCCAACGTACTTACGTATAGGACCAAGTGCCATTTATTTAATAGAGATGATCCTTCCTAATAATTCATATAATTTAACCCGTAACCAAGGACGAGGCAAGTTTTCGTTACGATTTTTCGTGAATTGACGCTTCACAGATGTATTTATGTAACGCCGGAAGGCAAATAAAACTGCCTGCTGCTGATAAGTACTTGACGAATATAGTCAATTTTTATTTTAATTTTATTCCATACTAATTAATTCTGACTGATATGTACTCTAATTCAATAATCGGGCGGGATAATGCCACTCCCACGAATAATAACAACGCCAGGTGACAACATACATTTTTTTTACTCTTTTTTCACACAATCAGTCTTTCGGGATTTTCTGCATTTCTTGCACTGCAATGCAAGAAACTGCAAGAAATATGCGTCATCTGGCCAATCAAGTACAGCGGTGGGGCCTGGTTTCTCCTATCTTGGAGGTCAAAATACCTACAAGAAGCCAGTTTCCTGTAGATTTGCTACATTTCTTGCACTGCAAAGTAAGTAAGCAAGGCAAGAAATGCGAGAAAGTGCAAAAAATATTCGCAATCAAACTACCGCGACGGGGCGTAGCTTCTTGCGCCTTGTATTTCTTGCAGGTCAAAATAGCTGCAAAAAACCACTTTCTTGCCGTTATTTCGTCCAAATGATTACGTACTTGCACCCGAAACACTGATTCATTTTATCCGTAAATATGTAGTGTGTTAGTTGTTAGATAATAACATTTCATGGCTTTTATCTAACCTAACCTAACCCAACCCATTTCAGCGAAGGAAACCCATGCCCACCCTCCGACGACCCGGCCACCCTGATTCACACGAGTTTCGCCAAAGTCTACACAATGACGATTTCCCCCACGCCGAAAACGTGGACCCCCGCGACCCAGTACGCCGTCCCGGTCTCCTTCTATTTCGACAAGCAGAGGAACGTGTACCGCATCCTGAGCTATGACGGGGAACGTCTCATCATCAATAGCACCATCGTGCCTTCAATGTCGTTCAACAAGCCGAGTTCCGCCTTCGGTTTGTGGAGTGATACAAAGTTGAGGATAATTTTTGGGTTGGGGTTTCCCTCTCAAGGTAAATAATTCGTAAAAATTCCTGATTTTCCGATAAGTATTTATGTTTTGTATGGCTTCAAGGGGCACGAGATTTGGCGGGCGACTGGTTTGATAAGCTGGTGAAAGCAGCCACGAATCTGGAACAGTCGAGTAGAAACCTTACCTTACCCCCACCGGAAACTGGGATGAATAATTTGCCATTCAGTGCAGCTACAAGTGTTAATCGTAAGCAGATAATAACAAAACGTGCCGATAAAAAAAAATTCGCACATGACACTATTTAGCAATGGAGGTCTGCCAGCGTATGCTCTCCGATTTTGAACAAACCAGTGTCAATCGATCGCAAATTTAATTAGTATGAAATTTGCAAAAGATTCGATCTCCCAATGGACACGTTTGGCATAGATATTTGCATCCGAAGAGGAGAAAACGCTCCTTAAAATTGACAAATTTTACTCTTTCCAAATTTACTGCGCATTTTCTCCTCTTTGGATGCAAATATCTCTGCCAAACGTGCCCATTTGGAGATCGCATCTTTCCCAAATTTCATACTTATCAAATTTCTAATCAATTTCCACTAATTTACCCAAAATCTGACCGCATACACTGCTCGACCTCCTCCATTTCAATTCCGCACAGACTGGATAACCGATGACGAATCCGCCCTCGACATATCCTCCACCATCCCTCCCGCACCACCCAGGGTCACCTCCCCCAGCCAAGCCTTATCCTGCCCCCCTCACCAATTCTCCGAGGAATACACCCCCGACACGGATCGCGTCGTGATCGCGGTCGGCGGCGCAATTCGCGAACAATCCATTAAAAGTTTGCAACAAGAAGAAGAACTGGAACGCAAATTGGTCGCGGTGGAGAAGGAATTGTCCGAACTTAAAGTCCTTTTCGCCTCCGTGCAAGAAAACCTCGGTAAAAAAATCAAGGAAGCCGAAAAATTAAGGGAGCTCGTGAATTCTGCAAAAGAAGAGTTGCAAGTGCAAATTAATCGGGCTGAGATAGCGGAAAAGTTGCATAAAGAAGAGAAGCAGCGAATGGACGCCATGCAAGGAAAGATAGAACAGCTCAAAGCCATCATTTCCCAGCAAACCGGAAGCATCGCGGAGCTGCAAGAGGGGAAAAGGGTGAGCGAACAAGAGAACAAGATTTTGAGAGAAAGTCTCAATAATCGCTTCAATGTGGAGGAGGCTGATAAAGATTTGAGTAATTTGGAAAGTATGTGTAGAGAAATTTCCGAGAAGATGGGGGAAGTTCTCAAAATTCAGGAAAGATTGAAAAATAATCTGGCAGGGGCAAAGCAGCAGCTATGAAAATGTTTTAAAGAGCATGATGATGTTTGGTAATCTAACTTATCAATGGTAAAATATGAAAGAATAATTGATGCTATGAGTGATTTTTAATAAACATTTTGTCACATTTTATTGAATGAATATGCAAATTTTCGTGTAACTTAACGCATACGGGTCTTACATTTGAATTTTTGCGTCTCAACTTTCCCTTCTTCAATATATTCCAATTTTTGGCGATTTTAAAACCTGTCCTACTCCGCAAGTTGTTTTGAAAAATGAAGATTTTATTGTACCTAAAAATCGATAATTTTTACTGTTTTCAAAGTTAGGAGGTTAGAATTTTGATTTTTTTTTCTTGCATGTGAAAATAGAAATAACATCGATACAAATAATAAGAAAAAATTACATATTTTCTTATGGAAGAATAAAAAATCAAAATTCTAACCTCCTAACTTTGAAAACAGTAAAAATTATCGATTTTTAGGTACAATACAATCCTCATTTTTCAAAAAAAACTTGCGGAGTAGGACAGGTTTCAAAATCGCCAACAATTTGAATATATGGAAGAAGGGAAAGTGAGACACATAAATTGGGTTCAAAACCTTCATCCAATGACACCTTAATATATGATTATACACATCTATGCAAATTGTCAATAGTGAAATATGCTAATGTAAAACAATTGACGCCATGAGTAATTTTTAATAAACATTTTGTCAAATTTTATTGAATGAATCTTTCGTATGTAGCAATCAGTGAACTTTCAACTGCGTAAAAATTAATAAAAACTTTTAATCATCACCGTCACTATCCACAATTCTTGACACTCTTGGTTTTGCTTTCACTGCGGGTGGTCCTTCGTCATCGTCGTCAGAATCCAGCAGAACTCGTGAGGAATTAGTCTGCTTCACGGGAGAATTTTCAATATCGGACGTGTACGCGGTCATGATTGGTTCATCGCCGTCCGAATCGGAATCCATTACAATTCGTTTCATACTTTTCTTCGGTTGTTTTGGAGTCGGTGTTGGAGTTTGAGTTGGACTCTTGTTATTTTTTCCCGTCAAAACGGAAGTATTGGTTTTAGTCGATAGTTTAGACACTTGAGAAGACTGCGTGCTGGATATTCCTGTAGATGATGACGAGGAAGATGAAGATGACGAAGAAGAGGATGAAGACGAGCTGGAAGAAGTACGAATTCTGGACCGGTTTGGCGACTTCTTTGAGCTCTGACTCGTCGTTGGTTGAGATTTTGTAGGAGTTCGAGGATCAGAAATATTTGAAGCTTGTGACAACATGTCTGAATCTACCCGACTTTCTGGAACCTCGTTGTCGTCTTCAGGTTCAGAAGATTCGGGCAGTTTTTTCGTACTCTTTGTCGTTACTTCTCCCGGGTTCTTATCAGCAGTGTTGATAACTTTAGTTAGAAGATCAATTCTTAATTGCACCAATAACTGACCCCAAGAACCAGGAATTCGCCAAAATGCTTCCTACAAATAAATAAGTTTTGTGTCAGAAAATCCCTCCAAAGTTTAACTCATACCTTTTCACTTTCATTCATTTAACTGATTATGATAGTGAATGAAAATGAATTTTCATGAAAATGATTGAAAGATTCTGTCATTTCATATGAGTGACTGTGAATGAAAATGAAAGGATTTTTCACTCAATACATGGGGCGAAGTTAGAAATGAAGTGAAATGAAATGAATTTGAACGAAAATGAGTGAATTTGAATATAAATCTTTAGGCAGAAATCGGGATGACTGACTTTTGAATAAAAACAAAATTTTTGAACAGGTATCGTTTCACTTCGCCCCACACAAATAACGTTGAATATAATTTGTTCCTAGTTCGTCCTAATACCTGAATTCCAGGTGGATCAAACCCCAGGGATTTGAGAAAGGCTTTCATATTTGATTTGGAAATGGCCGAAATACAAGCACTCCCAATCGGAACGAGAGGAACGGCGTCATCAGAATCTCCAAACTCAATCAAGTCCTCCTTGAACTGAATTAGAGACTGGAGAACCCACCGGAGAGGAGGCAGCATTTCTAATAATAAAACGAAACATCATCATGTTAGTTAACTTTGCCAATCTTTCATTTCAAAGAAGAAATCATAAACTAACCTTCCACGGCCAACAGATCCCGAGCATGTTGGGAGGCTTTCTCTGCATCAAAGTTGTTATTACTACGGCTGCTGCTTTGCTGCTGTTCTTCTTCAGGTTCACTTTCACTTCCAGCAGCAGCATCGGAATCGTCAGAGTCAGAAGAGGAAGAAGAAGACGAGTCGCTACGTGTAGATCTTGACGAGGCTGGTCGTCTCTCCTCCAAGTTTTCTGTTTCGGCACCTGAAATTCGAATATATTTGTGTAATTAGAGACGTGATTTTAACTTGACTCTAAAGTCTAGTATTCAGGACGGATTTTTCACTTGAGAAAAAGGTAGCAAAGACGAGAATTAGTAACATTTTGCAATTTATTTGAAGAAATATTCCCATTTGTAGTGTAATTCCAGTGAAGAAATAACTGAATACAAAGCGAAAAACTGGTCGTTTCGCACGAAAAATCCATCCTGAGAACTAGGCTTAACCATTATGTAGTAAAACATTCATATTTATGTATAATACAAACCTTCATCATCGTCATTGGTTCGATTCAAATCTTGAATTCGTTGGTTCCTCTTAGCACCACGAACCCTCTTTTTCTTCACTTCTGACTTGTCGCGGATTAATCCTACTTCCACCATCTTGTCAATTATGCTCTTTTTGCTTCGTTTAAGCGGCATGCCATCCACAATTGGAGTCATGATGTCGTTAGAATCTTTAAATTCTCGATACAACTCGGCCAATTTTTCCAATTCGTCATCCTGCCAAATCCTCGGGGCTCGTCGAACTCTGGACTGAGCCTGCGAGCAATTAGATTGTTGAGTAACAATGGTAAATTATTATGTAACGCGCCGAACCCTATCATTCCATGTTATTCATCTTTAACATGACAGGATAAGTAGATAATGCGCCACATAATTTATGGACATCATAGCATCCGAACAGAAAAATATACAAGTCAATACTCACTGCAGAATCCATTAACTCCTTCTCGACCAACTTGCTGATCATCATCTTCTTGCTTTTTTCACGCCCAGTCCACCTCTCTTTAATCCATTCGACAATCTTTGTTGCACGCTTAACTAAACATTCAGTAAGCATAAAACAATCAATTCATGACACATAAATAAACAATAATGAAATCCGAATTTGAAAAAACACAAGGAAATTTGATTTCTTTAAGATTGCCACTGTTTGTAGCGCCGATTTTTTTATGTAAATGGTACCAACTTCCACCCTTAACTTTCTACTCCTCCCCTTGCCCGAGTGGGAGGGGCACAAAGTTGGAAAAATCGCTGTCTGCAGTAGATTTCTTGAAGATGGGATCAACTCTATTTTAACAGTTTTTCGCAAAAATTTCGCAAGTTTTTTTCCCTACAACCTTTCTCGGCCGTTTTTTGAAATTTTCCCAAAAAAATCCAGACTATTAAGTTAGAAATGTTCTTAATTAAACCATATTTTACAGAAGATTTTTTAAAGATTTTATACACAGCTCTATAATTTTACTCATATTTAACATTATCAAATGCATCAACAACTCACCCTCATCCGGCAGCGCGTTATACTCTTCACCAAGCAGTACGAGTTCGTTTTCTTCGTCACTTGTCCAACTGGACTTGTCACTTTTGCCGTTTGGTGCGGACGACGTCGACTTGTACGTGGTTCCATATCCGTCCTGAATTTCTTGCGCTTCTTGTGCCGTCTTCCAAAAGAAAAGCTCCACAAACATTGTCTTATTTCTTCGACACAGCGTGACAAACTTGGGCCACAAATGGTAAAAGAATTTCACAGCTTCCTGTACATACATAATCCACCAGATCAAGTTTATTGACTGTGAAGATGATGAAGAAAGTTTCTTCAAGAAACAAGCAAATAAATCAAAAACGACTTATCTACTTACGTACCTTCAATTCCGGTTGGTGCTTTGCAACTTTCAAGATTTTTTGAAACGTCCGAAAAATTGAGGCTTGGCAGATCAAAGCGGGATAATCCATTTGAAAAACGAATCGATGAAACATTTTCATGATGCAGTGGAGCGTGAAAGATTTCAGGGTTTCAAAGTCCTTGAACAGCCGGCCGTAATTGCAGACTATTTTTGGACAAGCGTATCTAAAGAGGGGATTAAAAGAAGTGACATTATTATAAGCTTATCAATCACATGACCATTATTGGCGACAGTGGCCGCGGAAGATAATTTGGACCGTGGGGACATATAAGCTGTAGGGCTCGCAAAAATTTTACTCGCCTATTTTCAAGCTTACGAATGTTTTTTTGAAAACAATACAGCATTTGAAAAAAATTGGGTATAATAAAGCAATAGTCTGAAAATTAAAACATCTGGGGTACATGTAAAACAATTGAAAAATAAAAAATGTTCATGAAAATTTGAGAAAGCTTAGGAAAATCATAATCAAGCTAATTTTTACAAAATGAAAATTCATTTGGAATTGTGTGCAATTTTGCAATTACAGATATCCAATTTTTCAATTAACCGTTTGGGCTAAATGGGAAAACTACAAAATTTTCATGAAAATTAATGAAAGTTTAGGAAAACCAAAATGAATGAATTTTCATTTTGTAACAATCAGCCAAATTTTATTTATACGTAATTTTGCATATTTGCGGATAAACGTATTGCATGTCCCCACGGCAAGATTTCTGTTGGAGAATTGTCCCTCCGACCCTTCCGCGGCGACTGACCGACCATGACGATTATTATGATGCTTTTGTTTTGTTTCTTCTTATTTTTTCTTGAGAATCTTACTTGAGAGCGAATCCAAAGAAATCAAATTCCTGTTCCTTTGAAGACTGGCGAACCTCTGAGGAGAAAATATCAAAGGGGCGAAGGGTAAATATTAAATGACTCAATCATTCATGGGCAAATTGACTTAACTACGAAATTCCCTTCTTCTCTCTCCTAGCCAGCTTTCTATTTCTCTCTCTAGTTCCATCCATGTATCTAAATTTAATCCTCTGTCAAAGCTTCCGTTCCTGCTTGGGATTTAGGAGGGGGCACAACTTTCTCCCTTTATACATTTTGGCTGGGGTACAATTTATTCCTCTAAATCCGATCCGCGACCATTTTCTCTCACAATTTTTGACAAACTATCCACACAAAAAATGAGACATCAGAGGATTTATCGACGTAAAAAAATTGTTGACCAACCAATAACAGACTAAACTGCATAATCAATAAGATAAACTTTCTTAAGACAGCCATAAACCATGTGTAGTCGGATTATAAACACGTACATGTCTTTAATATTTAATCATTTCTTATGTGGAGGTCTCCCAGAGTATGCTCTCCCATTTTGAGCAATTAGTGGAAATCGAAGGCAAATTTAATTAGTATGAAATTTGCGAAAGAGACGATCTCCCAATGGGCACGTTTGGCAGAGATGTTTGCATCCGAAGAGGAGAAAATGTGCCTTAAAGTTGATAAATTTACTTCGCGTTTTCTCCTCTTCGGATGCAAATATCTCTGCCAAACGTGCCCATTGGAAGATCGTGTCTTTCGCAAATTTCATACTAATTAAATTTGTCATCGATTTCCACTAATTTGCCCAAAATCGGAGAGCATCCGCTGTGAGACCTCCTTTCTTAGCCTCATATTTTCTCGAGATATGTATTACTAAAATAGTGACATGGAGGGAGGGCGGAAGGAAAAATTATTTCACGATATAAAAAAAGCGAAACGTCACCCGACATTTGAGCCCCGTTATAAATGAGTTATCGAGGCCAAAGGGCGAAGGAATTCGGCAGGAAGACTACAATTTCATTTCTTCGACCCTTGCTGCTGCCTGGCCACGATACTGTACTCACCCAGTGGCCGCGGAAGCCGTGGGGACATCTGGGGACACTAACATAGTAGGATAGGACAGGGAGGGGTTTACATATTTAACATGGGAAATGATGCCGACATCGAACAACCGTGGGGACATTACATTACCCCTCTGTCCCCACTCACGCTTCCGCGGCCACTGTTCTACCCACCCCATCAGCCACCACCCTCTCTCCAAAACCATTTACATACATACGCACCCAGTGGCCGCGGAAGCCGTGGGGACATTGCCATTGCAGTATAAGGGAGAACGTGGTTTATATAACACTAGCGTATAGCCCGGCCGAGGCCGGGTTCTAGAGTTCCAGTGGGGGGTGTGCCCAAAGCGAAAAATCATACTATACTTTAAATAATTCCCAGTGGAGACTTTGTCATACTACATACATACATCAGAGTGAGGGTTTGCCCAAGTCATACTGCATTTTAATTAACCTGGTCACAGTACAATTTAATTTCCCCCTGTTGGGGTAGTTGAATAGCTAATTACTTAAATTCCCACGCTTCACGCTCCCGTTAAGTTCCATAAACCCCGTTAACTTCTACAATTAACGCCAAGCTATTGACGGATTCGGATTCAGCGTCAAAAATACATTCGAATTGATATGCGACAACACGAATAAGCCATATTTGGCCCCACGGTCACGGCAAGGTCACGGGGGGCCTCAGAGGTCAAAACCATTGGCGGCGTTGGATTCAGCGTCAAAAATACATTCAAATTGATATGCCACTCGCTGTGAGTGGAGTTTCTCAAACTAAAATAATTAATTAATAGTGATCACGATCACTTATCATGATAACTACTATTGATTAGTGATGTATGTATGTATACTGCTCACTCACTCAATTTACTTGCACACTGCAAATATACAAAGACATTTAATTTGAGATTGATGGCAAGCGTACGTGAAAGTCACGTGCAGGCGAAGTGAGACTCACGCAGAAAATGCATGCAACCTCCGCTTCCTTCTTTGTCTCCTCTACGGGGCAACTTGCATTGAGAGCCACAGGGACCCAGGCAGAACTTAACACTAACGCTTTATGGAAGTAGATGGACACATGATGCCGACATCGAACAACCGTGAGGACATTACATTACCCCTCTGTCCCCACCCACACTTCCGCGGCCACTGCTCTACCCACCCCATCAGCCACCACCACCCTCTCTCCAAAACCATTTTTGGATGATGTGATGGCAATTTTTTCTCTTGATTCCCAAACAAAGACCTTCTTCCTCCATCGGCCAAGTATGACGGTGGTTGGTTGGTAAAAGTAAAAGAAATTATTACTACATTGAAAGTGCTTTTATCCTAACTAGCCCCGATTCACAAATTCCATTACTCAATGGGCACGAGAGATACTGCTTTCTCCGGAGGATTCCCTCTCCTCCTCAATATGACAGCAGTTGAGCTGGAAAGTTGCTTGGAAGAAGGGGGAGGAAATCCGACCCATCTTGACTTGTCCATACTTCACTTTATCTCATTTCCTTCGCCTCCTACCCAAGGATGAAAAATATTGTTCATTTGTTCCTCAAAAGTGGATCGCGTTATGTACACACAAAAACATAGCCATATGCAATCTATATAAATCCATTAAGAGCAGGAGAAAGTCCAGTCCGAGGGGACTGTCCGAATACTATTTGACTCTCATATTGGAACAATGACGGACATAATTTAGCAATGTCCCGCACAACAAAGAGTCTTGATTGTCAATCTGGTAAATGCATTTTCCCAAGAAGAAGACAAAAAATAGGAGAGAAAACTAACGATAAAAAAGCAGCCTTGTTTAGCCCGAGTCAGGTTATTATTAATAATCATTGGCAGCGGAAGTTGGGGGGACATTAACATTGTGAGATAGGAAGAGGAGGGACTTATTAACATGGGCAAGATAAGCTTTTGATTAATTTCTGGGGGACAATGTTACCCTGCTTCCGCCGCCACTACTAATAATTGAGCTGGGTATAATACAACTTTCTACTTTTTCCACAGATTTTGCTCATCCGATTCCTAATTTTGCATGTTCTACGTAATGTGCAAAATTACAAATCGATTGGATAAGTCTTAGATAATCAATAGACAGACAACCATAACGGGTACATAAGGCCTGATTCGGGCTAAAAATTAAGCGTAGAACCTCGCTCAGGATAAAGCATCAAATGAATGAAAGTTATCCAACTTTCTGATCCGTCCGACTAATTGGGGGCGGACGCGGACGCGGACGCGGACGCGGGGGCCGTGACATTATTACTTCGTTCAGGATTACGTTACTTGCAATCCGATTAGTTCATTTATTTCGGATCATTTCACTTTCACTGCAAATCTCTCGAATGCATTGGTCAGTATATTATGTAAGAGAAAGTCTCCAAGGACCACTCCCTCTTCAAAGAGATGGAAAAGAAACCAGACTGCTCGAGAAAGAGAGAGCAGGGTATGAAAAACTTGAGAGAAATAATTCAATTCTATTCCAATCTAACACTGCTCAACTTTGTTACATGGCTCAACCGTCGAGGATGAAGAATCGCTTATGCAACAGCAACACCAGCCCAGGCAAAAACAAACAGGTAATCAGTGGCCGCGGAAGCCGTGGGGACATTGTAGGATCATACCTGTTCAAAAATTTAGTTTTCATTCAAAAGTCAGTCATACCGATTTCTGACTGAAGATTTTCATTCACATTCCGTTATGTTCGTTCAAATTCATTTAAATTCACGTCATCGGACTTCATTTCTTACTTCGCCCCATGTATTAAGCATAGGGTGAAAAATGAAGGAGTGAAAAATCCTTTCATTCACAGTTATTCATCTGAACTGACGGAATCCTTCAGTCATTTTCATTCAAATGACAGGAAATTCATTTTCGCTCATAATAATTCACCATCATAATCGATCAAATGAATGAAAGTGAACAGGTATGTGTAGTATAAGGGAGGGAGCGGTTTATACAACATGGGGACGTCAAAGGACATTGCCCCTCCGTCCCCACACTTCCGCGGCCACTGCTGACCTAATGATGATGATGTACTGTCGTCGCCTCTCTCCAGAAAAATTGGCCCAGTAGAAAGTAAACTTCATTTTACGAAAGGGAAATGAGTGAAAATTCTTCCAACCTTACGTTCAGTTTAACATTCCAAACTTCCTCAATTGTTTCAGGGTCATAAACTCTTTTTAGACTGTCTAAACTCAACTAGTTAAAAACATGGCGTCGTGTTAGACGAGACAGACGGAATAAACAGTGGTGCAAATTTCCTGCATAAAATCCCATTTTCTTTCTCGTGCACCGCTTTTATGAGAAGTTTACAGTTTTTGTTTTAGACAAACTTTCACTTTCCTTTTCGCATTAAGTGGAGGACACGAGTCTTCTTTTTGTCATGCAACAATCAGCAGTGAGACCAGAATGGGAAATCCAACTCGACATGATTAAGCACATAAATATGCCCTCATAAATCAACTTGAAGAGAAAGCATATTAGGTCGGTTAACTCGAGTCTAAACGGATTTCACAAATAATAAATATCCCTTCTTCTGAGGGGAAAACCATATTTTTACATTTTCCATAAGTTTTAGCCCTTGAAATTTTCCCCAAAATTACAGATTTTCAAAACGTTGTAACTTTTTTGTTTAAAAAAGATGCCAATAATCTGTGAGGACTCGTTCATTTTGTACTTTAAGAAACTACGACAATATAAAACGTACGTATCTGAAAAACGCTAAAAATGTAGGGCAAAACTGCATATTTTGGAAAACGTATAAATACCAGCTAAAATTTTGGAAACGTTAAAAATCCGGGTTTAGTTTTGACCCCCGTAACAAATTCGAATACGTCCATTCCCATCGAAAACTTACTTTTTATGCAAATATTTCCACGTGCAAGGCATCCCTAATTCTTCTACTTAATAGATAAATACTCAATTTAGAATCAATATCAGAGCTAATATTTTCCATAATTATTTCACTAACGTAATTTATGTATGTCCATAAATAATAATCTAGAAAATATTACGTACCTGGCTCTTCTTCAATTTCTTCCTCATTTTCCTCCTCCTCCTCCTCTTCCTGATTAGATTCCTCTTGATCCTCCAACTCTGCAATATTTCAAGGAAGAAAAACAACTTTAATCATTTCACCTTTTTAACGTCGTTTACTTTTAATTTGATAAGAAAATTCGCGAATAAGAGATGATTAGTTAGTTCTGCTCGAGAGATGAATAATATCAAAGGGAGAGGGATGCAGTGGCCGCGGAAGGGTGGGGACAGGGGGGGCAATGTCCCCACGGTTGTTCGATATCCCCATCATCTGCCCATGTTAGATAAACCCCTCCCTCCCCTATCCTACAATGTTAATGTCCCCAGATGTCCCCACAGCTTCCGCGGCCACTGTATGCACATGTTCAATACTCCCAAAAGAACAATGGCCACGCAAGCGTGGGGAAAAATGGATAATGTCCCCACGGTTATTCAAGATCTCCATCATCTGCCCGTGTTATATAGACTCCTTACTCCCTTATCACACAATATTAATGTCCCCAGATAGCCCCTTACATCTTCCGCGGCCACTGGAAACCGTCATAGGAAGGAAATTCCATGCACGCGCAACAATGCAACATCTCATCTTCCCTCATCCCCCCAAGATTTATGCTGCATCCAGATAGATTAAGGAGGACATAAAATTCACTTTCCGGAAGCGTTCAACATTATTATCCAATTTTCAATTATGCATGAAAATCTCATAAAATTTAATTTGTAATAATAACTCAAAATGTATCCCATTGTTAGCAGCGCGCCTCAAAGGATACCTCAACGCGGGCCAAATTGCTCACTTTTATTGCAACAGAAGAGGACAATTAAACCCAACTTTACTGCCTGCTTTGAGCATTACGTGGCCGTGGCATCATTCATAATGCACGAACTTAGCCACTCCTCTCTTCTTGATAATATAATAATAATATAATAACGTGGAGATCAAATATAATAAGAGGGCTGAGGCAGAAAGCCTCGGAGTTTCGGATCAGAGTTCAATTCTTGGTCGGGTATTTCTATATCATATCCGACCAAACTTGTTTTCAATTTGTGCGTATTATTCTGTAAATTCTTAAATAAAAATTGTATGTATTTTATTGTTCGGGTCACCTAATTTGCATAGATAAATGCCCATTTTCTGCGATACGGGCTTACCATGTTGAATAAGCTAATGCGTCAAAATATGCAAATGACGTGACACGCACAAATAACTCCACTATATGTGTATTAATTACTTAATTGACGAATTTTTGACCAGTATCGACAACTTAATCGTGCCAAGAAATGTAAATTCAGGGAAAAAAACTGCACAAAATATTTCCATACAAATCCCCCTGCGTCAAAATATACAAAATAAGGCAACCCGCAACAATAATTCTACTTGTAAACCCTCATATTCTATTTGTGTGTCCTTTTCCACTCATTTGTAAATTTTTACCAGTTATCTGACAGCTTAAGATAACGACATAGGAAATATCCGACCAAGAATTGAAGTCTGTTTCGGATCTGCAGCCCCTCTTATTTTCTCCCTCTCTCTCTCTCCCTTACTTACTTATTAGAGGGCTGAGAGTTCAAGAATGATGAATGGTATTTAATTACAAGTCTTTTTATAAATGGTGGTGGCTCTGCCTGCATCTCTATCGTCATCATCATCTGCATCTCTCCATAAGGAAGGAAGATATGCCTTTTCATCATTTTAATTCATTTTGTGGTGGTACAAAGATTCAGATAATAATACCATCAAATTAAAATCTTCCGTTTTCTCGTCCCAACGTCACGGCCACGCCATATTAAAACTGTTTGTTGATCTAACACGAGAGTGAAAGTGACAACAAACAACGCGTGTTCTTTATGAAAAAACTGGCTAAATATAAGGTGATGGTGGTGATGATTCCATTTAACGTGAGGAAAAAATACTTGAAAACCCCCAAAAAAATTCTGTTCTTTCTTTCCCCAGGAAAAACAGTGGAGGCAATAATATTTGCTAAATAACACTAGAGTGAAAGTGACAACCATGTGTTCTTTATGAAAATTACTGAATAAACAAGCTGCTAAATAGTTAGTGATAATTCCATATGAAAAAAATACTTGAAAACCTCCCCCAAAAAATTATCTGTTCTTTAAGAACTAGAAAAAAAGTAGTAATAGTTCCTGCAGCAATAATAACGACCCTGCCAGAGAATTTTATCGGGAGACAAGTCATCCATGCACACAGAGAGCCGAGTAGTCATCAAGTTACACTTTATTGCCCAACTGTCAACAGGATGGTTGAGCCATAACTTGTATTTCTCCCAACATTACTGCACCTTTTGTTACCACAACTCACTTTTATAACGGTGCTTATATTACAAATTATTTCAGACAGTAAAACAAATGACTCAATTTCACTGCGGGAGAGAAAACGACCAGCCAGCAGGCACTCACCACGGTCTCGTACACACTTTTGTTGGTGAAAGGAAATCCTCCTGTAACCAAATCTTGCCGCATTTCTTCTTTCATCCAACGGAGAGAAGAAAAGTAAATAAAATTCAAACATCAAACAGTCCAAACCACCACATACATAAAGAGCAGAAGCGAAGATATTACGATTTTTTATGATGAAACCAAATGTTGACTTTGTTCTGGATCAATATAAATAAATACCTACCAATCACAAAATTGAGAGAAATGCGAAAGGTGCGTATATACAGGGTGGTTGAAAAATGTCTCGCTACAATGGAAAATTGTGCAAACAGGAAAAGCTCCTAAATAGGATTTGGAGTTGAGATTTTTATTAATTATTACCAAAATTGGTGACAAAATTCTTAAAATGTTGAATTTCAGCGACAAAATTTCTGTAAGCAAGTAATGGAAATCTACGAATTTTTCTCATTAACATTGTAGAGAGACATTTAAAACCACCCTGTACGTATTTTATCACATGTGTATTGTGCATTCATCATCGTTATAAAATGAGGAGGTATAGTATTTCACAACAGAAAAACAATTAGCTTCTGTAATAACAGAGCAAACATGATGATACGAAGCATGAAACCCAAGCCAAAACAGGCATCCAAAATATACACACAAAGGGATGTGTATGTTGTATGTAATTGCCGACAAACTCTTCTAATAATTACATTACTATGCATCATCAAGTCCTCTAAAAACTTCAAACAAACCCGAGCCCACTGATGACTAAACTGATTACAATTTTTTAATCTAATTCGTTTCGTCCCCTTCCTTGTTGTCTTAACTCAACCCTTTACTTAATTTTAAATTCAGGCTTCCCAGTGGCCGCGGAAGGGTGTGGGCAGAGGGACAATTTCCCCACGGTTGTTCGATGTCCCCACCATCTGCCCATCTTATATAAATTCCTCCCTCCCCTATCGTACAATTTTAATGTCTCCACGGCTTCCACGGCCACTGATTCTTCCCCAACCAGCATAAGAATCAGAAGAAGCATAATAAGTTTATACGTTGCAGCGTCCAAATTCCTTATTTCACGAGGTAAATTGCTTCCACCGGAGGAGTCTTTATCGCCCTTCTGCCGGAGACAATAGTCGGTCGGTCGGTCGGGTGAAAGTGAGTCGAGAAGTGGTTGACTCACTTGAGATGGTGGTGAAGGACATTGAGAAATTAGAAATTCTGGGGTATACCTACATAATAATTCCCCAGAAACCGATGTAGGAGAAGTGAAACTGCAACCACATTGAAGTAAGTGCCATGCTCAATTGCATTACGTTACATCTGTATCACATTGAAATTCAGAAGAAAGCAGGCTCAACACCACTTGGTGCAGCGCATAAACTATGAATATGATCAAACCAACAAATGTTTAATGGTTAAATGGATTCATTATTTCCCTCGGTCGCCCTCCTCCCCTAATGTCATTCATTCACCAACTTTCTCCTCCCCCAACTTTCACTCACTCGTCATTCTCATCAACAAAACTCAGCTGCAGTGCAACACGAAACTGCACCGAAATGCAGTGGAAGAGGGGATTCACTGATTCAGAATTCTCAGCTTGATAACCATCCAAGAGAGATTTCACTTCCGCCGCAGCAGGAACAAAAATCAGTCATCACTAGAAGAACGGAACCCCAAATTGCACCAGCAACACGGACCAAAATGCACCCCTGCTTTCATTTCCCCCTCGTTCGTTGCAGTGTGTGGGGCTGTCACAAGTTGTCATTTTCATTAATCATTGCACCCACTGCACTGCACTGCACCCTTTCCTTCCTGTCATCGTGATAAGATCAGCCGCGGAATCCCAGTCAAAGCTGGTTTTACTTAAACCAACTCGACACATGGTTTGACAGTTAGGATTGAAAAGAGATGGCGAGGGAAAACTTATTCATTTACTGGACAGCAACATGCATGCGATGGGAGACATGGGTGATAGATAGAAAGTTTGTATGATGTGATGCAGTGGCCGCGGAAGGGTGTGGACGTGGATAGAGGGATAGTGTCCCCACAGTTATTCGATGACCCCATCATCTCCCCATGCTATATAAACCCATCCCTCCCCCATCCTAAAATGTTAATGTCCCCACATGTCCCCACGGCTTCCGCGGCCACTGAATATGATATGATGGATAGGATTTATTATTGCAGAATGAGTTCCCCCACCACCAACGAAACTGTATCACATGCACATGTTCATGATACCCTTCTTAATTACGATGGACTAGAAAACTCCCCAGTAGACACGAGATTCTTCATCGTCTAGAAGAAAATTAAGAAAAGAATGAGACAAACAGTGGCGGCGGAAGTTGGGTGGGGGACATGCGGGGAAATTATCAATGGTGGGATAGGTGTAGGAAGGACTTATCAACGACGACAAGTACAATTTTACTGAAATTCTGCTGGAAAATGTCCCCCCGTCCCCACGCTTCTGCGGCCAATGAAGACAAAACTATAGAAAACCGAGGCCACGCTACATACGTCACAAGCCAGCAAAAGAGAAAGAATTCAGCCAATCCTTTTCTTACCTCGCAACGCAGCATTTGCCGCTGATAGGGTTCCTTTCCTCATGAAAATGCCCTTCAGAACGAGCGTCTCATCCACCGGATCCAGCCCTTGTTCGCCAAATTCCTCCCTGCAATCTGGCCAAACCTCTCGCGACGCTTTCAACAAGACAAAAGCCTCCTTGTACTTTCTGGTATGGAGAAAAACGGAAATTCTTTCCACAGCGGTCACCTTCTGCTCCTCTATCGGAGTATCGGACGCGGCATCAAAAGGAATCACATTCTCGGCCTCATCACTGGGACCAACGGAGGATTCAACAGATTCAAGAATGTCGTGGCAAACGGTGCTCCAAAGCTCGTCGAGTTCTTCGTCATCCTTGGGAATTGTTTTTCGCGATTTTTTTGCCCCCTTTTTGTTTCCAGATCGCTTCATCTTTTTTCGCTTTTGTCCTTTCGTCTTGACAAGAATTTTGCGAGAGGAGGAAGTCGCATATTCTTCTAACATTTTGAGAAACAAGTGATTCGTCTCGACCAAGTCTTTCAGGTAGAGTTTGGATAGTTTCACGGGGTCGAAACTGTTCAAAAGAGAGAAGCACAGCTCTCGGTATTCCGGCATGTAGAAAACGTTGCTTTTAATGACTCGGGACGACTCCTTGACTGCTTCGGAGCCATATTTGTCCATCCAGAGGAGGGTAAATAATAGTTCTTGGTAGGCTTTCAGAGCCATGTGGGCTCGTTTCGACCAGTACGGGATATTTTCTTTGTCTGTTACCATCATCGAGTGGTACTGGTCGAGTTGGGTTTGGACGTAGTGGAAAGCGTTGGTGGACATGGTCTCACTAAATGATATGAAAAAATTAAAAAAGTTTAAAAAATGAGAAGACTAACAATGGAGGTCTGGAGGTCTCCCAGTGTATACTCTTCAATTTTGATAAAATGATAGTGTCAATTAATCAATCGATACAAAATTTAATTAATATGAAATTTACAAAAGACGTTATCTGCAAATGCTCATGGCAGAGATATCTGCATCCAAAGAGGAGAAAACGTGTAGTAAATTTGTGTCAAATCAATCAATCTCAAATTTAATTAGTATAAAATTTGCGAAAAACACAATCTCAAAATATGCACGTTTCGAAGAGGAGAAAATGTGTAGTAAATTTTCGAAGTGTAAAATTTGTCAATTTTATGACGCGTTTTCTCCTCTTCGGATGCAAATATCGCTGCCAAAAGTGCCCAGTCGGAGATCGTATCTTTTGCAAATTTCGTACTAATTAATTACATATTAATTAATTGTGATCGATTGACACTGATTTGCTCACAATCGGAGATCATACGCTGGGAAACCTCCATTACAAGACATGCAAAATAAACAAGCAATTTACTACTTAATAAAAAAATGAACCTTTCTTCACATACCTCACATAGCTCACTTTAAACTTATCAAATCGATTAAACTCCATGAAAAAATTCATCGCCCACAAATAATAAGTCTCATCATGATCCTGCATCCTCCCCCGACTAATGTTATCCTTCACCACGCTCATCAACGGGTTATACGCCACGTCCAAAAACTCCCCACAAAACTCCTTCAATATAATCCTCACCGGCACCGTCGACCTCCTCACGGGATCATCCCCCCTCACCGGCATCCTATTGCTCGCCGTCCGCTTCGTCTTCTTCGTCTTATCCAGACTCAAATCCGCCGTTGACGTTATCGGTTTATGACACAACAGGTCCTTCCCACTCGGCCCCTTCATCCCCTGCACGGTAAACGTCCCCCCAAACCTCGAATGCCTCGAGGAAGCCTTTTGCACCTCCAGATTCCTCACATACGCCTCCTTCTCCCGAATCCTCACCAATTCCCTCTCATCCTTCACACGATCTTCTTCATTCCGAACGAGCTGCGTTTTCGCCACTTGTTCCCCCGTCTGTTCTCTCAACATGAGCGAAATAATCTCCAGCACGTGCAAACAATATTCTCGCGTGGTTTCGGACGACGCGACGAAAAGGAGGAGATCCTCAATCCCCGATAAGTGCATGACCATCAGGACTCTGTCATGCAGAGAATTTTCGTCATCCGTTCTTTTCTCTTCTTTCGGATCGGCCGGCACCATCAACATGTTTCGGATGAGGACCAAGATTCTCTCCAGGGCGGCCTTATCATCCTGCATTTGCTTGTCCCAGTCCAAATTGAGTAAATGTCTTAATCGGTCGGTGAGCCTTTTCCAGAGATTTTTATCGACAAAGGCGCCCTTGTAGGAGCGCAGGTTTTCCTCGATTTCCAAATAGTGGCTGAGATATGTCTTGTTTTTGGGGACTTCTTCATCATACAGGAGCAACGCGGGATGCGTCAAGTTTACGAGGAGGCGAAGGATAACATCGTAAAGTTCGAGATCGTCGGAATGGTGCTTGAGAAGTGGTAATAAATCTCGCTGAACGACTTGTGCTCGACCCAAGAGGCGGCGGACGGAGTGGTCATCATCATCCCGGCGGAGATAGAGAACCAAATCCTTGACACATTCGAGGCAAGAGGGATCCTTGTAGTACTTGTCGTCGTCCGAGTAGCCGATCGAGTCGCAGGTTGCTAATATTTCCGCTGTCAACTTGGGATCCATCATCCTGCAAATGGTGTGGTGGTGGGCTGGGAAATGATAAAGAGAAACAATATATTTACTTTAGTCTCGAGCAGAAAAGGCAGAAAAGGGTGAAGAGAAGAGGAGATGATAAAATGATGATAATTGTTGTGCCAGAAAGCAAGAAACTACTTCAAATTGTGGAAAATATGTACTCACCACAACACCAAACCACTTAAGAAGACTTTATGCTAGTGGTGGTAAATCAGTGTCCAATACAGAAGCGGAATAAGTCAAAAAACCTAAAGAATTAATTATAATAATTAAATCCCTGCTTATAAAAATCAAGGACAGTGTCCAGTACAGAAACGGAATAATTCTGCCAACAAAAAAACCTAAAGAATTAATTATAATTACAAATTAAATCCCTTGTATTGAAAATCAAGGAGAACCATTATCACACTTTTACAATATACTTTCCTCTGTGATACTGAATTACATAATTGTTAACTATTATATAATTATTAAGTTAAGTACTTACCAGTCAGTTAATTATTTTTCTGAAATCCAAAATTATTACGAAGAATTAAATGACTTTTAACTGTTCCGAGTGGTAAAGAAGTGCACTTTATTAGCGCTCAATTTCATCCCACACCGGTTGAAAAACTCGTCTCACTTCACGTCATTCACGTTACTCCTTTGTTCACAAGTGGAACGAGGCAAGGTGAGACTTTTTTGTAATAAATTGAGATTTTCAGAAATTTCAGTATATTATTTCGAAAAATCGACCCCCATATTTTCACTATTTTATGATTTATAATAATATAATTATGAGGCAAAGTGAGACTCTGTACATAAATAAATTACATTGAGATTTTCAGTTTTTGGAAAAACGAACCCCAACATTTTTAGTAATTTATTTATTAATCATACTATAATTTGCTATTCATTAATAAACTTTTACCAACTTATAAAATAATTAACCCGCATTAGTAAAATGTGTCCTACATTTACACAACTTATCCCGCATCGTCCAACTCCAATTATTTACACGGCCGAGGAATCGTACTTTTCGGAATAAAAGTTGAGAATTCGAGTCCGTAAGAAGAGTTGGCCTTTACTTGGTGTTCATCCATTCAGACATTTATTCGAAAAATAGTTGAAAAGTTTTCAGCTGAATCTGAAGGTCTCCTCTTCCTCTTCCATCCACTACTACCAGTGGCCGCGGAAGCTGTGGGGACATCGGGGGACACTAACATTGTAGAATAATGGAGGATAGAATTTGCATAAGATGGGGACATCCAATAACCGTGGGGACATTATCCAACTGTCCACACCCTTCCGCGGCCACTGTTCTTTTGGTATTATCATCACTATGGGGTATGTACATACAGTGGCCGCGGAAGCCGTGGGGACATCTGGGGACATTAACGTTATAGGATGTGAGAGAGGTGGGTTTATATAAGATGGGCAGATGATGCGGACGGACATCAAAAACCCTGCATAGGAACATTGCCCCTCTGCCCCCCCCCCCTTCCGCGGCCACTGTCCACCACCACCACTCTCTACGCCTAAACCCGAAACTCCATCCAACTGTGTAGGAAGAAAACTTATCCGGTCAATTTATTTCAAAAATTGTTTCCTGAACTTTAAGCCTTTCCCAATTGACGACGGTTGACTTTCCATTTCCGATTTCCTCTTTCCTCTCTCGGCCCCAGTAATCTCTGGCCAGCAGGGAGGAACATGATATTCATCTCCTGGACGAATTTGCATACATGATTGGTTCCCCATTCCCATTCAACTTTGAGTGGTTTTTGACCATATATTTGCTCTTCGGTTACTTTGTTTGCTTGAGCAGAGAGGGTGATTATTTTTCGAGTGGATTTCGCCCTCACTCTGACTCATCTGACTGACTGATAGTGACCCAAGTATTAACCTCCCAAGCTGGCTGCCAATTTAAATTCCTTAATTCCTTCAGTTGGTGTGTGGTTCGCTGACCAGACCAAATTTAAGACTCGGTTAATTTAATTCACTCACAAATTGCTTCCTCTCTCCTCGTGAGAGGAGCATCGAAGTGTCGGTCGAGAGCGTGAAAATAGAAGTGCTGCGTTTCAGGCGGGTTTTATGATGCTACATTTCTTGCAGTTAAAAAATGTAAAAAAATGCTAGCTGCAAAAAACTGCAAGAAAATTGCGTCATTTAAATAGTCAAGCGCCGTATGAATTGCTTTTCTTGCGCCCTGCATTTCTTGCGCGTTGCATTTCTTGCAGATCAAAATAGCTGCAAAACCCCACTTTCTCCCGTTATTTGTTCCGATGATTTCGTGCACGTGGTTATTTTCCCCCGAAACACGTGGTTAGCAGTGGCTACTATCACCCTGTGTTTAGTTTCTTGCGGGTTTGCTACATTTTTTACAGAGCAAAGCAAGAAACCGCAAGAAATGTGAGGTGCAAGAAACTGGGAGAAAGTGCAAGAAATATCCGCCATCGCGCCGTATGAAGTATTTACAGTGGCGGGGCGTAGTTCCTTGCGCCATGCATTTCGTGCAGGTCAAAATATTTACCTGCAAGAAACCGCTTTTTTGCCCTTATTTCTAGCCAGAGGTTCCTTACTTGCACCCGAAACACTGCAAAATATCATAGAAAAAAAATCTCTGAAGCAAGATTTTTCCTCGAAATTTTATTTTTCTTCCCCACGACGAAAACGCAATCAATGTCACACAGCGAAGTTGTGTTGTTGTTGTTATTCAGAATTTGAAAACTCTTCTGCAAAATAATAATTCCTCTTCCTCCTCGCAAAAGTATTTACCCTGGCTTCCACCCACGTATAAATTTTGGATGACGGCCAACAGTGAAATTGAACAAGTTATTTTCTCCAGTTGTTGTGTACATCAAAAGTCAAAGCCTTATTTAGATTTAGGAAAAAATAAGTTACTTGGTATGTGGGGCGAAATTCAAGTCCGGCAGAACTCAAAATCCAATTCTAACCTCGCTCTCCAGTGGCCGCGGAAGGGTGGGACAATGTCCCCACGGTTATTCGATGCACGCATCTGCCCATCTTATGTATATAAACCCCTCCCTCCCCTATCCTACAATGTTAATGTCCCCACAGCTTCCGCGGCCACTGGTAACCTCTCTCTTCTGCAAGTGAGAGGAGGAGAAAGTCTGCTGGCTCGTCTTCAAGTGGATTAAATAACCTGCTATTTCTTTCTTTTGCAGCAGAGCGAGCTGTGATTTTCGATTAGAAATGTCTCCCATTGAATCCGGGTCGACATCAGTGACCGCGGAAGCTGTGGGGACATCTGGGGGCATTATAATTGTAGGTTTGGGGAGGGAGGGGTTTATGGACAAAAGTCTCAGTTTCTGCCCATGTTACACAAACCCATCCCTCCCCTACCCTAACTTTCCCAAGATGTCCCCACGCTTCCGCAGCCTCTGGTCGACATATGCATGCACACACTTTACAAAAATGGCAACAATATCACGTTACTGCTCACTCACTTGGTGAAAGTGTGGGAGGCAAAATAACCGAAAAAAACGAGTCCAAGTTTCTCAAGTTTTTTCATCAAATAATCAAACTGTTATTCGCGTTACAAGGAATGGGAAGCCGTTTATTTGTTTGCTTTGCAGATATATAACTCATAAAACTCTCATCCATCTTCCGATCCGATCTCCAAACAGAGAACTTTCATTTCATTGTTGTTTGCTTGCTGGGCAGATCGGAGGGAGCTAAAGTTTTTCCACTTGGTGCAGTAACAGAACCAGTGGCCGCGGAAGGTGTGGGGGCATTAGCATTGTAGGATAGGGGGAGGGAGGGGTTTATATAATGACGGGGACATCGAACAACCGTGGGGACATTTTCCCCCTTCCGCGGCCACTGTGACGGACACAACCCCCGTTTAGCAGGAAGTTGTACATACACGAACACGAGGAAAAATACTGGAATAGATTTTTTTCTCCTTTGCAATATTTCATTTTGAAGGAGAGACGACGACGCTGTGACACGATTCAACTAACCCACATACTTTAGAAGAAAAATGATTATTTCATTTCATTCGGGTTCACTGGAGTTGCAAGTTGCATAAATTGGAGAAAGTTTTTAATAGAAATTTTATGCATGCATGTAGTATGATAGCATTTATTAACTAGTTAAATAACAATGGAGGTCTTTGAGTGCATGCTCTCCGATTTTGAGCAAAATAGCGTCAATCTATCAGAAGTTTGGTTAATATGGAATTTACGAAGGGCACGATCTTCTAATGGACAGGTTTGACAGGAATATTTGCATCCAAAGAGGAGAAAGCGGGCATTAAAGTTGACAAATTGTACACTTTCCAAGTTACTGCGCGTTTTCTCCTCTTCGGATGCAAATATCTCGGCCAGACGTGTGCCCATTAGGAGATCGTGTGTTTTGTAAATTTCATACTAATTAAATTTGCAACCAATTGAAACTAATTTGCCCAAAATCTGAGAGCAACCGCTGGGAGACCTCCATTGTAGTAGTAATTACTATAAAAATAGTCTATTTCAGGTCTACGAAAGGTTATCTATTAATAAAAAGGATCTCATTCCTAACAAGTATATAACTCCTACTTATTTTCTCACAATCTTGAGATTTCGATTGGATTTTGTCCTTCCAGAAATAAACGGATCCACGCGTGGGAGAAAAAACTTATTGCAATGGAACAAATGACAAACCTGACTTGAACATATTGCTCGAGACACGAGTAATATAACGCTTAAATAAATCTCCTCCGAGTGGAAAAAGTGATTATGATTAAATTTCTGAGAGGAACATGTCCACCTGTCAGGATCGTTTATTGCGAAAATATAGTTATCTCTGGTACATACATGATACATACAGTGGCCGCGGAAGGGTGGGGACAGGGGGACAATGTCCCCACGGTTATTGGATGTCTCCGTCATCTGCCCATCTTATATGAAACGTTCCCTCCCCAATCCTACATTCGTAATGTCCCCAGGTGTCCCCACGCCTTCCGCGGCCACTGCATATTGCTAGCAGGCAGCAGGCACAAGATGAGAACAATCTTCTAAAAGCCAGGCCCCAAATTCCTTATTTTTTGCACATATATTACACAAATCATCGACTGTTTGAAAGAATGTGATATGTATGATTGCTATAACCGCCCGAAAACAAAATGAACATTCTTTCCTATAAGAGGCACAGTGTTTCGGGTGAAAGTAACCACGTGCAAGAAATAACGGGGAGAAAGTGGTTTCTTGCAGGTAAATATTTTGACCTGCAAGAAATGCAAAGCGCGAGAAGCGACGACCCGCCGCGCATACTTCATGCGACGCGTGGCTAGATTGCACATATTTCTTGCACTTTCTCCCAGTTTTATGCACTTTCTTACAGTTTCTAGCAGTTTCTTGCCCCTCGGATTTCATGCATTTCTTGCTTAACAGAGCAAGAAATGTAGCAAACCTGTAAGAAAATGGTTTCTCGCAGCTATTTCGACCTGCAAGAAATGCGCGGCGCAAGAAACTACGTCCCGCCGCTATAAATCGTTCATACTGCGCGTGGCTAGGTGGCGCACATTTCTCCCAGTTTCTTGCACTTTCTCCCAATTTCTTGCATTTCTTCCTTCCCACTGCACAAAATGTAGCAACCGCGCAAGAAACGAAACACTGCAAAAAATCACATGTCGTCATCTTCGTCGTCG